TATTTTCAGGGTATTATGAAAAGCTGTTTCAAATATGAGTTGGAGTACATTAATAACCACAGTAAATGCTATGATTTTGAATGCAAGCATGCAAACACACGCCTTGTGTTGTACAGGTGCCATATGCCATTTTGTGAAATGGAGGTCCATGCCTGTTGCACTTGGTCAACCAAATCGGCAGTGATCTATGCTGGTTGTGGGTGATGCTTGTTTTGTCATTCAGTCATGCCCTATATGTGCTGAATAGGGGAGAGATCTGGTGCTTGTAGACCAAGGCGATATGTCAACACTCTGTAGGGCAGGCTGATATGGTGATGAGCATTATCCTGTTGAAAATGCCTACTTGAATTATTGTTCAAGAATGGCAGCAAGGTTATGCAATTACCAGTATGATGTACAAATTTATTGTCAATTTGTGTGATATAACGATGAGAATCATACAATCAAAAGTCGTTAATTCGGACACCCATAATCCAGAATGATCTATAATCCGGACCTCAAAGCTAAAAACTTTCTGCGCATGCGTCTCGTCGACGTGTGCGTCATAGGCGTTTACGTGTGCGTGTGCGCATAAAACGTTTACGTATGCACGTTTAATGTATAACGGACGGTATAAGCTAAGCTAAAACTATCTAATTCAGTTAATGTTGCAAATTGAGTTGTTCCTTAATCTTCGAATTGGATCCCGCTTATTATTTTTTGCAGACTGTTAGAACAATTTTATAAAAGTAAGCTTGAACTTTCGATTATATCAAATAGAATTTCCGATATATATTTGCTAATATGTAAAGGATCTAAAAGCGAAAGTATGTTTCGAAATCCGAAATCTGTTTATCAATTTCACGCTGCTCGTCAGGGTGAACGCCGCGGCGCTCAATGAATTGGAAGTTGATCTGTCAGCACTATCCTTATCTTCAAGCCAGTGTTTTTATTTTATTTGGCTTATAATTCCTTACTAAATGTAGTATTTCATCTCGATGTACTCCGTCTTTGATATGATTTAAAACAAGTTCCTCGTCATTATAATTCGCTTCTGATAGTGAAGTAAGTGAGAGGTTATTGAAAACGAAAAAATTTCGATTGACAAATTAGTCGGTATTCTCGACACAGCAATTATAGGACTTGAACAGCGGAACTTTGTAACTAAACAAGAAATTATGTCTGTTTAATAGAATTAAAGAGAAAGTATTATCACATGAAATGAAGCAACTTAAACAACTTGCATTGAAAGAAATGTTTAATAAAGTAAACAAATAAATATTAAGCTTTTTCTTTTTGTAAATTTTGGTACCCTTTAGATCTTTATTTCATAAATTACGGTTTCATATTTTTAATTTTGTAATTGCTGCATGTCATCTTACCAGATTTAAACTGATGATCTATAATCCGGAAAAATCGATAATCCGGAATTGCCGAAGTCCCGACGAGTCTGGATTAACAACTTTTGACTGTACCATACACTCCTGCTGTCATAGGAAATTGCTTCCCAGACTATAATTACTGATATAGGTCCAATGTGTCTGTGCCGTAGACAGTTTGGTTCCAAGTGCTAACTTAGCCTCATAACCAACACATGGCCATCACTATATCAAAGACAGAAATGGGTCTTATCTGAGAACACTACAGATCTCCACTTCCCCTTCCAACGAGCTCTAGCTTGATGCCACCAAAGTCGCTGATGATGAGGATTTGCAGTTACCGTATTTGACGTCATATAAGACGCATCCTTATTTAGAAGGCCACACACACAAGGGGGAAAAGTTTCAATGTCTGCGTGAGACAGCGTTACCACAATAACTTAAAATGTGGTTTCTTTTAGTTCTCACGTTTCGTAATGAAATGCTAGTATTTTTTCTTCATAATCTGCTGGCATTTTCTGTGCAATAGTTGTTTTTGTGCGCATTGATAAGCCTTGCCTTTTCATGAACCTGTAGTACCAGCCTTCAGACCCTGAAAAGTTCTGATTCCCATGTTTTTCTGCAAATCGTTTAGCCTCATTGATTATTATTTAGTTGAAACACTTATCCCAGATTTTCTCTTATCTATCACCCACATTTTTACGGCATTTTCAAGTTCAGGCCGAGATGGAGCTGGGCATCAAAGGTAATGTTTTTGTTTTTTTAGCAGTCTTCAGTTGATCTTCCTGCAGTCGCCAAGTGCGTATCATTTTTTTGGTAGGTGGTGGACCGAAATGCCTTGCTGCTGCTCTGTTTCAATGCATTTTGGCGTAGTTTAACACTCCTAGTTTATACTGGATTGTATAGCTTAATCTCTTGTTTCCTGTAGTCATATTTTCCAGGATATTTTTTTAAAAACAAATAGTTTTAAGCACTGATACCGACACATTTATACAGAATAGCACCGATACCGACACGTGTGTCGGCTGAGTCAAAGAAAGTCTATGTAAAGAAAGAAAGGCTCCATAGACATAATGTTACCGTCGAACCTGTTCGAACTTCGACATCAGCTTCGAGCTTGGTGTTTTTTTGGCGACAGATATTTCACACACGCGCAAAATAATTATGGCAGATGTAGAAAAAGTTATGTGTGTCTAGACCTTTATCCGGGCTAAAAATAGCACTCAGTATTGAAAGTTAACCTGTGTCCTTCACGTATAAGACGCAGGTAACTTTTTTGAGACCAAATTTAGGAAAAAAAGTGCGTCTTATATGCTGTCAAATACGGTAGTTGAATAGCCCCTACACAGCATCTAGCACAGATCTCTCTCTCAAGCAATCAGTTTTTGACAGCTCACTATGTCACTTTGTTGCCATCAAAAGCTCAGAAATCTGTTGTAGATGCTGTGCAATGCACTGTGTGGCAAATATGATGGTCTTCCATTTGAGTGTTGGACCTCAGCTTTCCTGAGACAGTTCTTTCCTGTGATCACTTCTGCAACATGCATGCACAGATGTATCACTGCCAAGTCTTTCCCCAATGTCTTATAAAGAAAATCAACCTTGTGTCCCTGGTACATGGCCTTGTTCAAATTCAGTAAATTGCTGATACTTCCTTCGTTTTTTCCTTAAAGACATTCTTGACTCAAATCTCCCTCACAGTGCTCAATCATAAAGATAAATAATTTACAAAAAATGTGTATTTAAAGCAAGCGTGATTTGTACATTTAGTTGTATACTAGCACCACATTTATTCGTTTAACGCTGAATTTCACTAGATATCCCAAATTTCAATTATCTAACACAATTTATTGGCGTTGTGATTTTGTTTTTCATCAGCATATATTGTGGTTTAGGAATATTCCTTAAATATCTGTCCACTGAAAGTAGTTATTCATAAAACATGCAATTTCATAGCGATTTTTTTTGGGGGGTATAAGATTGCAAGAAATTTGTGTTGGAATGTACAATGTGATGGTTTAATGAAGAGATTTATTTTTTTTTAAACATCCACATGAATTTGAGAGATCAAAGCTTTGTTCCATTTTTGAAAGTTATTTAACATTTTGGGCAAATTTAAAATTTAATTTTTTTATAAATTTGTAATTTTTTTCTGCATTTTACATTATGCAACTCAACCATGTACAACCATTGCTCATTGTTCCAAGAATATTATATTACTTGACAGTGTAACTTCACGCTCCATGTTTTATTTGAAAAACAGTTGTATGTATAAGCCACCATTACCAGTTATTCATTAGATTCCCATAATGATATCTTTATTTTCTCTCATGATTAGTTTCTCTTTTTTAACCACTTGTGCTAAGGCTAAACCTCACGTTTGCAGTGCAAGCGGTGAATTGTCTTATTTACGCCGCTCCGTGTTTGCGAGTGCAATCCAGAGCCGTAACTCGAGAAATAAACAATCTCGTTGTCAGGCAATGTGTGCACCACGTTATTTTCATTTTTGCGATAAATGCCTATCGATGTGGTGTTCACGTCGCTCGCGGTTTGAGACAAAAGCATCTCGACATGCGTGGCATGTCTTTTTAGCGCAAGTGGTTAAACTAAAATTATCGAAACGAAGAGAAATACCTTCCTGACACTGAAGAGTGTGAAAGAACTGCAACATCTGCTGTACATTATGTATATTTTACACAGTAAATATATATACATGCATCTTAAAATGGTCCAAACCATTAAGATACCAAAATGGCAGAGATGTTTTGGAAGTATAAAAAAGAAAATCTCTCATGGAGTGATGAGAACTTTTGGAAAGTTAACATACATGATTTACTTGAAGTAAAATAATTATCCGATGAGCATATTAAATAAGGATAGTTGTCAGAATGAATCAACAAATGCAAAAAAGTGCCCTCAAAACAAGGTTCAGCCAAGAGAAAGTATAATTTCATCATTTTTCACTTGACTAATTAGTTGCCTCATAAATTTTTTCTAGTGTCATTTATTGATTTACAATTTATTGTATAGTGAATTTTAAAAATAGTTTGCTTTATGTATATTTTCTTTTGAAAGTGTTTTGTGCACGAAGTCACACTACTTAATTTCGATTTTTTTTTTTTTTTTTCTTTTCTTGCTTTAGGCTATAAGGATTCTTCATCATCTCTGAATTCTGCTAAAAGCTAGATTTTTGTTGGCAATATATTTTGAAGATAATTCAGCAATTAGAAGTGAAATCAGGGTCTGATCAAGTTATGGCTTAAGTTATGCATTAGAAGGTCTATGGCTACTCCATCAACTAGTCAAGAAGGGAAAGGTCAAAAATCAATCAGACCAATAGATGTGCAGTCTACTGTAGTAAAATCTGAAGACAGTGCTGAATCCAAAGATGAATCTATATTAACTGAAAGTTTTGAAAGTCCTTTAAATATTTTATCTCAAGCTGCTATTTTAACACGATCTAAAGCAAAAACAGTGCCGAATTTCAGAGAGCTGGATATACCACTTGAATTTTCTGAAGGTGAAACTGAAAATTCTGGGGATAATCTGAAAAGGAAGTATCCTAAAGCTGTAGACTCTGCATCGTGTGCAAAAAAAAAGAAAAACATTCTTAAATTACTATCCCGTACACAATATAGGAACATGAGTAATAGCCTCAAAGTGCCTGAAAATGAAGTAGAAACCAAAGTTGACATTGTGTCTAAACATGAACAGGCAGTCCAGCCGTTTGAAAAAAATTCAACAAACATGTCAGATGATCCAGTTCCTAAAACCGAAGAAGTACAGGGAGGGGTATTAAATCAAGCAGATGATATGCAAACATCGATAACATATGAACCTATGACTTTAAATTATAATGAGATGTTACCAGGAATGATCACAGATTCAAGTCAGTTATCTTCATTTGGAGCTGATGCTCTATTTGATACAGCAGAAGCTGCTGCTTTTCAGTTACCATCTTTTACACTAGCAATGGAAACTGCAGAGCAGTTGAAAAATTATAATGAGAAATATTCTGCTGTATTGAAAAATTATGTATCTAATAGCCAAACTGGAAAAAATAATCAGAGCAAAGTTCTGGAAAATTCAGCTGACAGCAAATCAAACAAATGTGGAGCCAGCAGTTCAGGTGCTACAGAGAAAGAAATAAAGCAAAGCAAAAAACTCAATAAAAGCAGCAAGATACTAGAAAGTAGTTCAAGTGAAGATGGACAGGAAACCGAGAGTTCTGGTAAATTCAATATTGCATCAAGGAAGACATGGTCTCAAGATGACAAAATGTGTGATATGCTAAATATTGTTGAAATGATAACTAATCCTGTAATAACTGAGAACAATTTCTTATCTGAAGACTCTAGTAGTGCATCATCTTCTTGTGAAACTAATAATGCTGCTGCAAATAGAACTGATTCATCTGAACCTAAAGATAGTGAACTTGGACGCTTACATGCAATCTTGGAAGCTAAAGGAATACCACTTTCAGTATTTGGAGCTTTGGGACATCGTATGCTATTCCAGAGATCAATGAGCAGTGCTTCAAATGCGCGTGTGCAACAATTACTTCAAGGGCTTCAAGCAGATGGCGACGAAGGCCAACAACTGCAAGCAGTTATTGAAATGTGTCAGCTGTTAGTGATGGGTAATGAAGATACTTTAGCAGGATTTCCAGTGAAGCAAGTTGTGCCTGTTCTGATAAAACTTCTGGAAATGGAACATAATTTTGAAATGATGAATCATGCTTGTCGAGCTTTGGCTTACTTAATGGAGGCTCTGCCTAGATCGTCATCTGTAGTCATTGAAGCTGTCCCTGTTCTCCTAAATAAAATTCAGGTCATCCAGTGCATGGATGTAGCTGAACAATCTTTAACAGCTTTAGAAATGCTATCAAAATGGCATAATAAAGCCGTACTTCATGCCAAAGGTATAGAAATCTGTCTCATGTTTTTTGACTTTTTCTCTCAGAATGCACAAAGAGCTGCATTTGCCATAATAGCTAATTGTTGCCAAAATATTTTGTATGATGAATTTAACCTAGTCAGCAGTTCATTACCTCAGTTAAGTGGGTGGCTTATGCTTTCAGATTCTAAGTGTGTTGAAAGTCTGTGTTTAGCTTTTTCACGATTGGTTGATTGTATGAAAAGTCAACCTAGTCACTTGTCTGAAATTGCAAGTCTTGAAATGTTATTTAATGTTAAGCAGTTACTATCTGTATCACCTTGTGTACTGAGTTCAAGAACATTTGCTTCTGTTGTGCGAATGCTTTCCCAGATATCTGCTGCTTCATCAGAGCTTTCAGTTTTGCTTATGAAACAAAATATTTCTGAAACATTACGCTTTTTATTAATTGGTACATCCAACTGTGATAATGGCATAGAATTAGTACCTAGAAGTGCTCAAGAAATGTTTGAAATAGCATCATTAATTTGTGAACTTATGCCATCATTACCTCAAGATGGCTTATTTGCTATAGATTCGCAAATTGCAAAGCCAAAAAATAATAAACAAGGATCTGTTGTGTGGCAGTGGAGGGATAGCACGGGGCTGTGGTATTCATATTCTCGTAATGATTGTAAAGCTATTGAGTCTGCATACCTTCAAGGTAAAAATAGTCTTAAGCTTGGTGAAGGTAAAAATAGTTCTTGGACTATAGATTTACATACAATGCAGCAGCATAATGAAGACTCTAGCTTTATAAGGCCTGTTCGACGATATATTAATGTTTCTCAAGCTGCATCTTGTCTTGAAAATGAAAAGAATGATTTACCCAAAGTAGATCATTTTAAAGAAAATGCTGATTTAGTTGCTTCATGTATCAAAGAATTGTTTCCTATTTTGTATGAAGTATATTCTAGCTCCTCTGAACCTGCTGTGAAACATAAATGTCTAGCAACCATAGTTCGAATGATATATTTTGCACCATCAAATATTCTTGAACTTGTTTTGAATAATCAGTTAGTTGCCAAACATATTGCTGCATTACTTGCATCCCCAGATTTTAGACTGGTGAAAAAAGCTCTCCAGATATCAGAAATATTAATGGAAAAACTTCCTTCTGTGTTTGGAGTTCATTTTATTAGGGAAGGTGTGATATATGAGATAAAGGCTCTTGTTGACAAGGATTTCAACTTTGAAACTCAAGATTCATCCAATTTTAATTCATCTTTTTTGAAATCATATCCTCAGATATCTGCAAGTAATGCAAGTCTTGAATATTCTTTGGCTGCCACACGAGCTCGTAATTCTGTGCGTGTAGCTGGAACTGAAGTTGCAGCTTCTTCAGAAAAATTAGTTAGAGATGATGGACCTAGCAGCAGTAAATCATCTAAAGTGACTTCCATGAAAAAAACTGATTTGATTCCAAAACAATTCGATTCTTGTTGTAAAGAAGCCCATACAACTAACAGGTCTGCATTACCACTTAATTCTGAATTGAAAAAGAAAATTGGTACTTGGATTAAAGAACAAGCTAAAAGTTTTAAAGAAAAATTTTTCAGTGTAGAAAAGCTTCTGTCATTAGATCCTGCTATAAATGTTCTAAATCAGTTAACTTCTGCTGCAAATGAATTGGCAGCTGTTGACTGTGGAGCACTAAGAGCACTTGAAATAATTCGTGGTATAATAACTGATAGTGATATATCTTCATTTGAACTTATTCACAGTGGATTGATAAATAAGCTGTTTGAATATCTCACAGCTTCAACTGATGCAGGTGTAATTAAACACTCTAAGGAAGATAATTTAAAGTATTTCCTGCATGTTTTTATAGGGAGTCCACTTTCATCTGATTCAGATTTTAAAGAAAAACATTTAAATTCTTCACCCTTATTTGCTTTGGTTTCTAAGTTAAATGCATGTGTGAGTCATTTAGAACAATTTCCTGTTGATCAACCTTATAATATTTTATCTGGAAAACAAGGAACAAACAGTTTTAGAATCTTTAATATGGGTCAGTTTAAATGCCTTTTCCAAAGGCATCATAGTTGTTCAAATTTGCGACAGTGGCATAATGGTCCAGTAATGATCGAGCCTCTGGCTTTAATTTACAATATTAATAGATACTTAGAAAATCGAGGCTATGCTGTGTTGCAGAATGATAAGGAGAGTGTTTATGATGAAGTAGATGATGATTTGAGTGATCCTAGTTTTGATGATAGTTCAGATGAAGAGGTGGGTAGCATTGTTGTTCGTGTAGAAGAAGAGCGTAGAGCTCCTAAATTGCAATTCTTAATTGGAAATAATGTGCTTCCTTATGATATGACAATATATCGTGCTATTCGACAATATGGTTATATTGAAAATATCAATAATGATGGTCAAGAATTTGATTCTGAAAGTGTACCAAGTACTTCAGACATGTGGCTCAGAACTTATACCATTTGGTATAGGCCAGTTCCATTAGAATCTGAGGAAAACACCGATGAAACGAAAATTACAACTCGAAGTAAAAGTGATAAAAAAAAGACATCTAGCTCTCGTAATTCAAAAAAGGGAGCATCTGAAAGAGAAACAGCTGTAAAAGTAGAAAAAGATCCTCTTTGGGATGATGGCATTGTGCCTGAAGTTTCTTCTTCATCACTTATTTCAAATTTACATAAAACTGATCTAACTCAAGATCCATCTTTAGACGTTATGTATTTGCTTAAAGTCGTGCATTATTTAAATTGCCATTGGGGTTTCCTATGTCAGATGAGCTCATGGGGCCCTGCAGTTTCAAATTCTGTATTCATTAACTTCTAAATTAACTGGCAAAGTCAATCAGCAACTCCAGGATCCATTTGCAATCATGACTGGGAATGTACCATCTTGGCTTTCACAAATAGCCTATAAATTCCCTTTTCTTTTCCCTTTTGAGACACGGCATTTGTTATTTTATGTAAATTCATTTGATCGAGACAGAGCTTTGCAGCGTTTGTTTGATACATTTCCTTCTCTTAAAAATAATGGCAGAATATCTCCCAAGCTTGACAAAAGAAAGAAAACTGTTTCCAGAGATAGCCTTTTAAAACAAGCAGAAAGCCTATTTAAAGATTTAGGAAACTCAAAAGCAATGTTGGAAATACAGTACAAAAATGAAGTGGGAACTGGTCTTGGACCAACTTTAGAATTCTATGCATTAATTTCAAAGGAATTACAAAGAGCTGATCTTGATATGTGGCGCGGAGAAAAAGTTTTGGAAAATCAAAGCAGTGTTAACTACATCTACAATCCTTTGGGTCTCTATCCAGTGCCTCTTCCTCGAAATACCAAAACACAGTTGCTCACAAGAATATGCGGCAAATTTAAACTATTAGGAAATATTTTTGCAAAAGCTTTAATGGATTCTAGATTATTGGACATTCCTCTTAGTCTTGCATTTTATAAATGGATGTTAAATGAGGAGTGTTACTTAACAGTTTCTGATTTAAAATATGTAGATGAAAACTTGTTGAATATTGTTACTAAACTTGAGCATTTAGTTGTGAAGAAAAAGCACGTTGAAAATGATGAAGCACTCTCGGCAATTGATAAGAAGGTTGTTTTGGAATCTTTAACCTATGATGGATGCCCTTTAGATGATCTTAATTTGGATTTTACGCTCCCTGGTTATGCACATATTGAAATGAAGAAGAATGGTAAAGACACAATGGTTTCAATTCATAATTTAGAGGAATATCTTAAACTTTTGAAACATTGGATTTTATATGAGGGAGTGCAGTTACAAATGAAAGCCTTTAGAGATGGATTTGAATCTGTATTTCCTCTGAATCACTTGAAAATATTTTACCCAGATGAGTTAGAACTTTTGTTTTGTGGTACTGATAAAAACCAGTGGGATATGGAAAGCTTAATGGCATGTTGTCGTTTAGACCATGGATATGACAGTGAAAGTCAAGCAATCAAGTTTTTGTTTGAAATTTTGTGTAGTTACAATGTGCAACAGCAACGACAGTTTCTTAAATTTGTTACTGGATCTCCTCGATTGCCTGTTGGTGGTCTAAAATCTTTGTGCCCACCTCTTACAATTGTTCGCAAAACATCAGATGGTAGTGATTCTGATAGCTACTTACCATCTGTGATGACATGTGTTAATTATTTAAAGCTTCCAGCTTATTCTACTCGTGAAATAATGCGCACAAAGCTAGAACTTGCTATAAGTGAAGGCCAGCATTCTTTCCATTTATCTTAAAGGAAAAGCACAATAATGCTGTTTGCAGTTTTATGAGTTTAATTAAGTGGAAGTGATTTAAGCTAGTGTGCAAGTTCTGTTTATACAAAGAGTTATTGTTGATGAGTTCAAAAATGTTTTTCTGCAAATGTCAGGGAAGAAAGTGCACATATGGACTCTCATCTATTTGAGATAATATCAATGAATTGAGCATGTACTTGGATTTAACTGTCTTATTGCTCGTCTTTGGAGCAGATTAACTTTTATACAAAATGTATGCTCAACGAGCATATTACTTTACAGGTATATTTCTTCTTGTGAACAGTGTTTTGCAAAATCATTGGAAGTCATGGTCATAGTTCTTAGAATTTTGTAATTCTGTCTACTAGTTACCTTTGCTATGATCAGATAACATTTTTATGTGTGAATATCAAGGTGCTCTTTGAAATAATGTATGTTGTTGCCAAACGTTAATTTTTGTACAAGTATTAATTTTGGCTTAAATTTTGTCTTATGTGTAAACTGTCCTCAATAATGTTTAAACTTTAACAACAGCTTATGTGCAAATATGCTTTGTATATTTATTTTTACAAAATGAAAAATTAAATTTTAATTCGTTTTCTTATTTTTCTTTCATTAACTAGTAATGCACATTATTTATCACATGGCTGAAAATGTTGTATAATTGTGGTAACGTTTAAACTAAATTTATACAATGTCTTGTGTAAAATGCAAAGTGGAGCTAAAATAAGATTGGGACATTAGTAAATGTTCTTTTATAAAATTAACAAGATGAATATTCTTTTATGATGCTGGAGAACATTGCCTTGAAAGTAATGAAATATTTGCATCTTTCATTTTTTTAGTTGGAGGCTGAAAATTTTTCATAACTTTTTTCTGCATGTTTCAAATTTGTTTTCAAATATGACTGCTATAAATGCACTGTATATTGGTTCTTGCCTGGTTACTGTTTTTTCTATTTGTATCCTAAGCAGCAGTGCAGAATTAGTTTCTTTCTAAACCATTTTTGAACTTATTAGTTTTGTAAAATCTTTTTATTGATATTTGTTAACCGTGTTTTGCTATTTTGAATCCAAGGATCAAATGGGAGCACTGAGAGCACATTTTTAAGCAGTATTTTTCAATAAATATTTTCTTGACCCATAGTAAACTTAATCTTTGGTAAATTGTTTTAGTATTTAAATAGGAAATTAATTTGTCACTGGAGTATTTTGCACTGCTTGCGTTTTGTTAGATTGTTAACATTTTTTACTTTTTCTTTGATATAAAATTCCATATTTTTCATCATTTAGGTTACTTGCAAAAAATTTTATTTTTTGCCTGCATTAGGAATTAATTGTGATGATTATTTTGTAATTACATGAGGAAATGATAATGTGCTGCATGTATAGTTTGCATGATAAGCCACTTCTCCATTTTTTTTACAATATTTTAGTTCAGGTAAGGGAGTTTGCTGGATTCTGTATCAGTTTTTACCCTCTCAATGAAAAGAGTGTTTTGTGGTCTTTGCTTTTTTCATTATACATGTTAGGATGGTATTGTTAAATTGATGGTATTAAACATACCTGATGAAATTTAATCTTTCCCCATTATTTCATATTTTGTGAGTCTATAGGTGTTAGTTTTTGGGGAGGACAAACAATGAATTTGTACCAAAGTACGTAAAATATAACTTGAAAAATTTTATTTTTTATAATGATGGAAATTTCCATAACATTTAATTTGATAATTATTAGTTGAATATTACACATATTCAAAAAAATATAAATTGTTAATTAGGTTTATTTTTTTAAATTTAACTTTTTTTAAGCAGCTGTAGTTAAAAGTTTGAAAGATAAATTTAAGATTTTATGTCAGATTATATTAGCTAATGTAACATGTAATGTTTAAGCTTAAAAAAACATGGAAAGATTGGTGTATATTTATTTCTAATATCATTGTTTATAAAACAGGTGGTGCAAAGTTAAGAATAGGTATAAATGTGTTAGAATGTTAAGGAGAGGCTTGCGTAAAATAGAGCAAAATGACTGTTAAGCGACAGTGAAATTAGAAGTGGTGGCTAAATGTCAGAGTACGAACAAATCAGATTTATAATCTTTTACTATCTTGTTAATAAAAAGCAGAAATCAAAATGGATCTCTATTTATAAATAAAATTCATACAGGTTATAGAAGAAAAAATGATTTTATACTTTTCTGTGGACTTTAAATTATCAAATATTGCTGGAAATTAATGCTGTTATTTATCAAATATTGCTGAAAATTAATGATAATTTAGATGTGCCAAACAGTTTCCTCTATAAAGGTATACATGCTAACTTGATACTTCTAATGTGAAAACATACCTTCTTTAATTGTCAATTGAAACACAAGAATATTGTTATAAGAAAACACGAAACTTTGAAAAGAAGAACTACTGTGAACCACTTTACTGATTATTGTAAGATTTATATATGATGTATATTTTTTCCCCAACTAAGTACCCTAAAGACAGGTAGATATGATCAACATCATATGAAATTTCAAGCAAATATAACTTAAGCTCATTGCAATTATAGCATCAAGAGATAACTATTTGTATGCAGGTATGACTGATGTTTAGTTTTGTCTAGCTGTAAATACTAGTGAAATCTTTCAGCATGCGTTAACATAACAATTTTTACAAAGCATTACATGTGTTAACATAGCAATTTTTTTTACAAAGCATCACTGTTTATTTTATACAAGTTGAATTTTGATTTTTGTTTGTAGAAATACTAAATTTTGAAATTTTTTCTTACCAATTTTGTATTCATGTATCATTTGACTATAGGGCTAGCTTCCTTAGCAAATTCTCCATAAAGGTATCCTAGAGGCAGGTAGCCGAAATTTACTCTTCCATCAAATAATCCAGTTCAGCTTTCATAATTTGGTGCAACAAGCTCTAAACTCAACTTCCTAGCTGTTGTAAGGTTAGAATACAGTTTTCAGAAGTACAGTAAGACCCTGCTAACGCTGTTTCGGTTTAGCGCTCTTTTATTTCAACCTGGAGATTCCACGAAATCGCTCGCAGCATACGGGGATTCCCCGAAATATTATGCAGGTTTCAAATACATATCCGAAAGAGTGTACTTGTATTTCTTGTTTGGTGCGGTATTGTACAGACATATTTTGAAGGGGTAAATGTGGAAGATGTCAAAGAAATAATTCAAGAAGCAGCGGCTAGTCTTTTTAATGATGAGCTCAAGGAATTAACTGAACAAGAAGAAAACAAAAATGTTGACAGCAGTGATTCAGAAGAGCAAAAAGAACTTTCGATGGCGTTTGTAAAAAGGAGTTTGTCTACCATAACTGAAATAATGGATCAATTCATTGAAAATGATCCGAATTTTGACAGGAGCTCAAAAGTAAGGCGTGGTGTTAGAGATGCTCTATCTGTTTATGAAGAACTTTTAAGAGAACAACGCAAAAGAAAAAGGCAAACAACATTAGATGCTTTTGTCACAACACTGAAAACGCGGAAGGCTAACTAAATATGACTGACTTAATTTTATTGTTTTTTTTTTTTTTAAGAATATTTTGTTTTGTTTTTATTTTTGTTTTTATTTTTGCAAGAAATAATAATGTGGTATTAATTTGGGCTTTAAGAAATAAATGTTTGGTTTTATTTTTATTAAAAAACATACTTTTTAAATTTAATACCTAACCAATTTCCTAGCCATCTTCCCCTAACCCCAATATTTACATGTAAAGATAGCCTCGTTTAGCGCTGTTTCGCATTACACTCTACTTTGATGGAACGTAACCCCCGCGTTAAGCGGGGTCTTACTGTATTTGTTTTTCTTTTTGGACCTTGTGCATTTTTTTCAACAATAGTTTTAGTGTCTATTGTTTCCAAAAAGCAGAGATGTTTGACACATTTTGTCTTTTATCTGTCTTTGATGTCTTGTCTGTCTGTCATGCTTCATGGTTGACAGCTCTTCACAATACTGATTCTTCCACGTGTTTTAGCATAATAGAAAACTTTGATTTGCTAACTACTGAAATTAATGATAATATATACTTCACTTGGAGTGTCTTTAGATCATCTTATGCAGGTACTTGCATCTTGGATTGGACATTTAGATTTATTTTTTCTTTATTCCAGGAAAGGGTAAGTCAGATTGATTGTTTATTTTGCAGACTATAAGTTAGGCTAAAAAGCAACCTTATTTTGCCGTAGATGTTAAATTAAAGCTATAAATTTCGAGGGTGATCAGGCACATATCTCTCTTCAGAAACAAATGATGGTTATTGCTTTCTTTTTCTTCTCACTTTTTGCTTCCGAAGAAGAGGAATCTGTGTCTAATCATCATTGAAATCTACTGAGTTTTATTTAAAATCTGTACCAAAATGTAGGCTGTTGTGTTGTCTAATTTTTAAGTTTTACATTGGCATGTTTCTCTTCTTATTTGGTATCAAGTTATTAATAAGTATACAATTGTGTCAATTTATTAATTTAATGTTAACAAAGTTAAAACACAAAAGTTAATTTATATTTAAATTTGGAAGGTTTCTAAACTCCTGGCAAATTAAAAGAAGTCAGGAAAATAAAAAGTGCTCAGGAAAAATTAAACTAAAAAATATATGTTCAAGAAAATGTATGGATTAAATATCTAAAATAATAGTAATATTTTAGTTAAACATTGCTGCGTGTGTACGAGTTTGTAATAGATTAAATGCACACAGCTGCGATGATAGTTTGATAAAATTTATTTTATCAAAAGAAACACTTAAGAGTTCTAGAATTTTCCATAGAAATATTCGCATAGGTGTTCACAGAGTAAATAAGTGTTACGCTTCGAAGTACTTGGAACGAAAACTGGTTTTATACAGTTTTCACCTGACCGCTGACATACAGTCGCTCTCAAAAGTACACTTATGATTTTTATCAAAATAGAGCTCTATCCATTAATTAAATGTAAACTTTCTGAATGAGATTTTAATAATAAGATCTATAATCTGTTCGGAACAAAATTACATGAAATATTTTTTAAATATAGTGAAACTTGTTTTTAAGAAATTAATATAAAAAATGACAAACATTTTATCTCACAAAAGTCTTTGTACACTTCAAGGAAATCTTGATATATTAGTAAATATTTTCATTTTTCGTTAAATTAATATTTAGTAGGATATCCTTTAGCATCCTCAACAGCTTTTAAATGTCTGGGAATAGATTTTACTAGTTTTTTTGGTAATTTCTGTTTCAATGTTCATCCATTCTTCTATCATGACTGTTTTGAGTTCGCTTTTCGTTTGGATGTCGTGTTTTCGTACTCTAACCTCTAGTTCTTTCCAAATGTATTCTACTGAGTTTAAATCTGGCGATTGAGGTGGTGTATTCAAAACCTGTGGACAATTATAGAGACACCACAGGCGAAAGTTGAGAGCTGTATGCCTAGGATCGTTATCATGATTAAAAATAAAGTTGTTTCCAATACCCAAATTTTGGGCTGATAATTTTAAATTGCCTCTTAAAATATTTAAATAAAGAGAATGGTTCCATTATGCTATCATAATCAAATACCTATCCTGATGCTGCCATGCACCCCACACAAGACACCACCACCGCAAGCTTAACTGT